GCTGTTTATTGTTCCAAGAATTTCCTGCTGCTAGCTAAAGATGCCTTCAAAAGAATGGCAGACAAAAAGAGTCGACAATTCCAGCCCCTACGACTTTATTACCTGAGGTTTTCGCATTTTGTTACAAGCGCCGGTGCTTAATTTTTGGGTCTAGAAACAAATATGCTCAGAAGTACTTTCATCTGGCATGCGGTTTCTTTCTAAGTATGGGGGTTGTATGGGCTTATGGACAGCAGAAGGAGAGCTAGAACTTCTAAAAAAATGCATATCGTATGAGTTAAAGAAAACTTGGTTTCTGTTTGAAACGATCGCATTTAATAATAATTTGTTTTTTTTTAAATTATTTTGTAACAAGGTATGTAAATGACTTTGATCCAGATGTATATTTGTACCACCTTTTATAGATATATAGTCCAGTGCTTAATGGAAACAGACCTATACAAGTTGTTGAAGACGCAGAAGCTGTCCAATGATCACATATGCTACTTCCTGTACCAAATCCTTCGCGGTCTGAAATACATACACTCGGCCAACGTGTTGCACCGTGATCTAAAGCCATCAAATCTACTCCTTAACACGACGTGCGACTTGAAGGTTTTTTAACTGTACATAAAACTAAATTTGTCTTGCAATGATCCGAACGCAGATCTGTGATTTTGGTTTGGCTCGGGTGGCGGATCCAGAGCACGATCACACCGGATTTTTGACGGAATACGTCGCAACAAGGTAATTACAAAGGGTCGATTGTTTTGATTTTTAACCGGTTTAACGTAGCGTTGTTATGTGCTGAATGCTAGGTGGGTGGAAGTTGGAGGAGGAGAGCGTTACATACTTCTGGCTGACTGTTGGTCAGATGGCAGGTTAACAAAAACGTGGAGGTTTGTTAGGAAGTCAGGGCGCGTGATTAAATGTGCCGAAACTGATTTGACACACGTTTCGAAAAATTGGACGAATTAGAAAAATAGTGATATACTGTATGTAAATATATGATTAAAAAGATATGCTGAATGGAAATTAGCGATGACGATCTTTTTGGTGAGTGGTGGGTATACTGAGTTACATGGTTGATTACACCATTGATTAATGATAATCTGGATATGATGAATGTGTTTAGGATATATCGTTGTACTGTATGGGAATTAGGGATGGTCAAATTTCCAGCGAGTGGTGGTAAGGACGCAGTGTTGTTTGATTGGTAGAATGGCCGTCTGTTTTTCGTCAGTTTCACAGGTCAGCTAACAATTCGGTGGTTTTGGCTATACCTTTAGACGAAAGGGATGATAAACAGCGGCACTTAAGTGCCATAAGCATCGTGATCAATTAATATTAGATAGTTTTGTTTTTTGAATAATTCATATCTGTTATACATCAATCGATGTTGTTGTGACTTGTTCA